TGTCACGGTCTCTACGTTGGGCATTGGCCAACTGTGAGAGATCGTTTGGCGATTGACCGGTCTCAGGTCCACTGTGAAACGAAATAATTCACGACCTGCTTTTGGGACTATCAGGGGCGCGCAAGCCCACTGACTGCTGTTGTTGGGGTAGACAAGGCCAAGTCGAAGTAGTTCGTCAACCTTTGATCGCAGAAAGTCCGACTGCTGGGGGCTGTAGCGCCTCACCTTGACACGTATAGGTTCGCTGTCTGGTTGCAGTCTAATCTTCATAGCAGGTACCTTCACTGGTGGGTCTGAGCCCAACCTTGTCCGAAAGATGTCTGAATATTCTATCACTAGAGTGCTGAACTCATAATGATTTTCCGTCCGAAGACCGTTCTCTTTAGCCTTCTCGATGATACGCTATAAACAAAATTGCGTGTGCTGCTGATCCTCGTCACCCGAGTAGTCTTCTAACAGATCTGAGGTCTCTTCTTCTTCCAAAAAATCAGACGCTGCCTCCATTCGCTGCTTGAATGCCTCTTCAGACTCTGAGGATTGATCGAGAAGAGAAGGAGGATTATCAAAGGAATCACTAGCCTCTGGGAGTGGCTCAGACGCTTCGGTTTGTGGATGGGGAGCCATGAGAAGGCGAGCTAGAGCCGGAGTGGGAGTGATGGAAAGGTCACGAGTGGCTGGATGTCCAGGTTCAAAACCAATATTCGAGAAATCGGCATCGTGGAAGCGGCTGCGCACATTTGCCAAATGTGAATCCAGGTTGAAGCCCATCGATTGCAACACCGGGCGAGAAATCAGTACTTCTGGGACAGTCTCGTCAAACACCAAGAATTCCAAATTACGTAGACGTAGCGGTCCTTCCGGAGTGTTTATCGTAGTGGAGATACTGGTTTTCTTCCTGCATTCAATGATTGTAGGTTTTCCTGCGTCAGTCGTGTCTAACGCCAACCTCATTAAAATTGGTTTCGTCAATGGTAGCTGTGGAACGAATACCCCGACGTCAGCCAGCATACTAAGATGTTGGACGCTCAAAGCAGAATGATCTGCACCATAGTCACCGCTGACGACAACGTCGACAATGTCGGCCAGTTTGGCGAAGTACCTCCCGGATCTTTGAAGCGCATCAATCGCCTCAGGGGGTTGTGTCAGAGCACTGATACGTCCAGTCTTGGACTTATTGGCCCAGTAGTCCTGTAAAAGCGTCTTTATCTCTTCTGTAGTCGAGTTTGGACAGTCCTTTATTCGATAACGGCGGCCCGGACACTTAGACTTATTGAGACACAGAGGAACTTCAGGTGCGGAAATGGTCGTTCTAGATCTGTCTGCAACCATACCCGTAGCCCTGTACGGTACGTCATTTTGTGAGTGAGACCGGTCGTGTTTTGCAGGAGGCGTCTGCTGGCGCTCTGATGTAGAAAGCGACTTATCGAAATTTCCTGTCCTTTGTCCCTGGCTTGCATTTCCGGAGGTACCCTTTGGGTCTTGCCGAGATTGATCTGTAGGCCTCTCGGATGTACGAATGGAGACAAAATCATCACAACTAATTGCCTTTTCGACGACATACTTGTAAAAAGGTAAAAACTGTTTACGGAGGGCATACTGGCCGAGAAGGAGATCATTCTGCACTTTGAAACGAAGAGCGGCGGGTTTAAGGAGACCACAAATATGATCGACTGCCACCTTCGGATTTTTTTCGATTAGAGCCTCCCATTTTCTGGAACGAAGAAAGGCCTTGTAGTCCATGAATAGTGTTTCAATACGCATTTCTGCGTCTTGTTCAAAAACGTTGATGCGTACAGAAGTGCGAACAGCGTTGTCTAGCTCTGTGGGGGAAAGAGAGTCGAGCTCAACGATATCCTTTTCCTGTAACCAGGAGTGTAAGATAGTTTCTGTAAGATCCTCAACCTTGGTGATTCCTTCAAACTCCTCAAATTCGACGAGAGAGAGGAGAAGGTCGGGGTCGATGGAAGACTTAACGCTTATGAGATTCAGATTCCCACCAGACAAATTTGCATCTTGAAGTCGAAGCAAATAACGGTCACGTTCCCTCAGAAAATAGTGGATATTTTTCCTTCCGAGCTTCCGGAGCTCGGGATGAGAGATCGGTGTGAAGAGGTGTTGTCCTGCGGAGGAGCCAGTCGGAGGCGCCATGCTGGGACAATGACCCAGGATACTCAGTGATCACTGTTGAGAACTGGGGGAGTGTGTTGGGTTGAGAGCAAAGAAAAGGGGTTGATCATGTACTCTGCCGTTTACTCGTACGATAGCGACTTGCGTCCTATTTATACTGTACTTTCTTTTCAGGTTCCAAGGAGCGACTTGGCCTTCAGAAGCGCAAAGACTTGCGCAAGGACGGCACGTCATCGTGCGAAAGTTGAGAGAGGAGGCACACCTAACGTGAGACTACACAGGAGCGCAGGGAACGTGGCGAGAGGAATGCTGCAGTTGAAATCTACGTAATTCTCAAGCCTTATCCGGCAACAAAGCAGAGCTGATACACGTAACAAATTCAATTACGCCAACATCTCGCATGTTGGTGTAACAGTGACAGGAGGAAAGCGAGTCAAACAAATCCTTGGAATCTGCAATCAGGGTAGTAGGGATAGCTGTTTTTAGAAGGACTGACAAAGCGGATGAAATCAGTAGTGCTTCATCAAGAGCAGCACCTGCTGCAAGTGTTTCTGCCGAAGCTGTCGACTTAACAGGACGCCTTGATAGATTGGATCTCCATGAGAGTATATGAAATATAGAACCACGATTTATATCGCCAAAGAGAAGTCCGCAAATCATACCGAGCTGACCGTTCTCACTAGGGCGAGCTGCATCCGCAAACACGGTAACACTGAGATGATTCGTACCCCGTGGTATCTTATCATAACTTGTTGTGGATCCAAGCTGCTTAAGTTTTCTCAACATTGCGGATTGGTTACATAGATCATGTACATTAGCAGCATTGCGCGATTGTTGTAGATAACTCGACACAAATGAAGCAATGGGGAGAGCATGGATACCAATAAAACCAATAGAACCATTAATGGCGTTGTAATGGAATTTCTCTATTGCGTTCAACTTTTCGTTAATCTGCTTTCGTCTTGTACGACTAACGTTGCAAGATGTTATTCCAGAACGCTTCTGATCAGCATGAACATGTATACCGAAGTCCGGTTCTTGGGAAACTTCAAGCCCGAAGAACCAACATGAACCAGGAAGATGGGTGATTGTACCCAACTCATACGCTTCTGTCAATCTTTTGAGAAACCGGCGCTTGTGCGTTTCACTTCCACCGATTAAAATATCATCAGTTACCTTAACCATGATAAGAACTAAACTGCAATCATCAAGCATGTAGAATAACTGCAGAACATATACGAGTGTGTTTAGTCCAATATCATTGAACGTTTGATCTGAGTGAACTTGCCATTTCGCATTGGCGTTCACCAATCCATAGGTTGCGACTGTAAGAAGCCAAACAAATCTATGATCTGAGCTTTCTTTCTGGGGAATAACATAAACGTCACGTTTAGCAGAACCAGTCTGCAAGAATGCGCCTTTCACGTCGATCTTCGTGAGGTACCATTGAAACATCACACATATTGAAAACAGAGTACGAATTCCTAGACGTGGGCAACATGCCGAATCAGTTTTTAAATGTTCACGATCACGATCTTCATTCCCATGAGGAGCTATACGAGCCTTACATGTTAGAGATGCATCATCTCTAGTTTTGATCTTATAAAGCACATGGCTGCAAGTAACATTAGCATCTCTGGGGACGTCAGACTTGTGAATACGAATGCACTGATTAAGGAAGGCACTCTCTTCTTCGCAATATGAGTTGGAAGTGATGTAAGAAGGCAACCCTTCAGCCTGGTGGATGAGAAATTCTTTTGACTTGAACCAATCGTAGAATTGACTCAGAGCGTTTTTTTCACAGCTAGTTAGCTCAGTACCAGGAAGTAATTCGATGTCATTCCCGTGTAGTGTGCGATCACTCGAGGTATGAGGAGTAGTGGAACTGGAGCGAGTTTGCATTGGGTGTAAGGAGGTAGCGGAAGGCTGATCCAATTGTGTTGTGCCTTGAACATTTGCAACATCTTCTTGCGGATCTGGTACAGTGCTATTGGGCGCGTCCGTGGAAGTATCATTGTCATGATCACTCTCTGGTGATCAGGATCAAATGTAGATTGTTCGACTGGGGTATATGTAACGAGCTCTTGTGGTTCATGAGCTTCTAAATTGGGAACTAATGATGAGTTCTCGGGACCACCGATCTCACCATCATCATCATCACGCGGAGAAGTAACGCTACGATCGTTAGAAATATTGGTGACCTCTTCGTCATCCGCGTCATCGAAAGAATTCATAAGGTCAACTTGGGTATCAATATCGGCTGAAAGCTCATCCATTGCTTGTTGTATCTCAGATGCTGACACGTTAGCACATACTGCTAAACGTGTATCTTCAATAGCAGCCTGTCTTTTTCGACCATATGCACCTGGAACAGACCACGGCCATGGGTGCGGCCTGTGAGTGAGTGTGTAGCGCGAGCCGATGGAAGGTTGGTGGAGCAGATTTTTCTGCCATATGACAGTTTTGAAATTCAAGTGGGCATGGATTGCAGGGGTGAAGTGTATGGATGTCAGGTGGAGAAGTCCGGGGGAGAAGTAACAGTTTTCGCGCGATCTGCTGAGAAGGAGACGAAGATGGTTCGATTAGAGGGCGAGTTCGAAACGGAGAGCCAGGACCCAGGGGAGCTTCGAGCAAGCAGGCGCAAAAGGGGTGGGTGTTTGGGGGAATATTTTGGGATGCGCATTGGAAGAGTAACCCTCGAAGTGACTTGAGAAAAACCGAGCGTGACGAGAGCTACCTGCGCAAGTTTCTGTGAGAGGAAGGGGTATGTTGTTGTGGGATATGACGACGGGACGTTAAGGCTGTGGAGTACATCGGAGAGGAAAGTATTGAGAAGTTGCCGCGGTCATAGGTCGGGAGTGGGTTGCGTTGCAATGAGTGTGGAGTCCACACTCATACTACACGTCTTCCGTCCACACTGCGGACGGAAGACGTGTAGTATCTGGATCGGAGGATATGAGTGTGCGGGTGTGGGACGTGGAGACGGAAGCACAAGTTGGGGAGGCGTTAGTTGGACACACGGGTTCGGTGGTGTGCGTTGCGATGAGTGGGGACGGAAGACGTGTGGTATCTGGATCGTTTGACAAGAGCGTGCGGGTGTGGGATGTTGAGAGAGGGATCACACTTCATACCGGGAGGTTCGAGGATTAGGAAGAAATCACGAGTCGGTTCCTGAGGAGGGCAGACTTGGGTACTGCTTCTCGCGCAGGACGAACATCACAAATATTTTCAAGGTACGGAGAAAGGTACGGAGAAATGTGCAAAGGCGAGAGGATGGGTCTGAGGCTGTCTTGGCCCAGTTGGACAATGCGTTAGACTTGCAGATGGACCCCGATCACGAGGTCGCAGTTGCAAGGACGGGCCATCTGGTTGCTATCATGAAGCTAGTTGTGTAGCTAGTTGTGTAAGTTAGTATCGAAGTGCGATGGCCGTTTGGCGCCCGAGACATTAGTAATGCGTTTGCAACTGTTGTGGCCAGCCACAGGCACACAGTCCACAACGACAGGGAGTCGGGTTTCGGAGTTCGTAATCGGTCCGTGAGCCGGTCTGGAGAGGACGGCTAAGGAAGGAACGAGGTTCTTGGCCATTTGGTGTGACCCAGAGCGAAGTTGATGGTCGAGAAGCGGGTCCGAGGAGACGGCTCGGAGTGCTGACGACCAGCTTGACCAGTCGCGTTTGGTCAAGGGCGGTGACGGTGTTTGATGTTCGTGATTGTCTGCCTTCCCAACAGTGGTTGGGTCGGCCTTTATATTGTATCGACACGAAATCAGCTACTACCCTTCTGGGTTCTATAAAGCCATATAAGGCATATCAAGGATGCTACTGTAGACTTGTTGGTAACCAGTGCCCCATAAACGGAATTATCAATCAGATGCGTAGGTCTATTTGCGACAGCGTGCCACACTGTTCGCAGTAGTTCTGTAGTGGGGAGGGTTTTTTGTTTTGTTATGAATGCCTGAGAAGCTTGCTTGATGGAAGTATGGAAGTTGCAGTCCATGTATGTGTATGTATGAACTACCGACCTGCTTGACTTCATCACTCGGTAAACAAGTCTAAGGATGCGAGCGGACCTGACGCGAAATAAGTGTTGCATTGCGAAGGCTTGTCCTCCTCGAAGACAGTGGACTAAGAAACGATATGAAACGTTCACAGCGGCATCAAGCATTCGGACAGAAGCGAAGCAGAGGAAGTTGTTATTAGTGCATCAACGGTGTGTTCAGAAGCGTTGCAGACCGGCTCAAAGCGGGGCGCGAATCTCAATGTTGAGAGGCGATGGGCACACATGCATAGGTTCACACGTGCACAGGTCCACACGTGTGAGAAGAACAGTGGACAAAACGAGGCCAACTTTTTTCTTCAATTTTACGATAAATTTGAGCTTCCATCTGCTCCACGACGCACAGACATTGTTCCCCTGCCGTTCCCCTCCTCCGAACCGCTCGTCCTTGGTGCGTCCTTGGTGCCCCTCGTCCTTCGTGACAAGCAGCGGCCTGCCAAGTCTCTGTCATCGGAAAACGTCCCTCCCTCTCCCTTTACGGAACGTCGGCGTCGTAATTCATTCCAATTAACACCGTCTCCGCAAGGGCATCGGTGAATATATGAGAGACAAGCACTGGGCAAATGGGAAAGTGTCCTGGGCGACACAGGTGAAACAAGCGGCCCCCAGTGACAGACCGACCACGATAGGCTGTCCGATCATAGCCCGCAGCGAGACGGATAAGCAGGAGCGAGACCAGAGACGACGAAGAGGCGAGAAAGAGGGCGCTGCTCTATGAGTTTGTCGATTCAACAGTGGCAGCTGCAACTCTGCGGGAACACGTGTTACACGTATCCGCGGAAAACTATCCTCGCTGTATCCTCGCTTGCACTGTAATGCACAAGGGGTGCAAGTGATACTCCTTCCGCGTCCTCGTTCCCGCTACTCCCTCTTCCACATCTCCTCCCCGGTCTCTTCCCCGCACCGCCTCGCCACCCCCACCAGCACCTGCACGCTCTCCGCGAGCGCCCTCGTCCGCCGCACCAGTCGCTCCTTCTCGCGCTCCACCCCGCGCATCCACCCCGTTTTCCGCGGCGACAGCAGCACGTCCAGCTCCTCGAGTACGCCCCCGCCCTCTATCCCGCTGCTGCTGTTTCCGCCGCCCATCCTCGCGCGCTGCCAGTGCTGAGGGGGGGGGGGGGGGATGCTTACCAGTGGATCGCGGCACGCGGCGGCCCCGACTTTTATGCACACTGCTCGGGCGCGCGCGAGCAAGTACGGCGAGCGCACGCGCGCTGTGCATGGGTGCGGCGGGGACGGGCGAAACCCGGCCGCCCGCGGCGACGGACGCGCGCGACACCGATTGTGTCGAGCGGGCGGCGCGCGCAACGGAGGCGGCGGCACGCAGTCGGACGCTCGCGCTTCGGGCGGGCGGCGCGGGCGGCCGCGGGATGCGCGCATCGCTGGGCACGGGCGGGAAGCGGGGGGGCGTGGTGCTTGCGCTGGGGGTCGCGCGTGGTTTGAACGGGAAGCGTTTGCGGGCGGAGATGCAGCGATGCTAAGTGCGGCTCAGCCCTGAGGGCGTGTCTTAACAGGCTGGTTTTTGGTTTGCCTTGCCCGGTTTTGCCAGGAATACTTTTAAATTCTTAACAAATACCGTATGCTTCTTAAGCCCTTGCTTTTCTTAAACACATAAATTAAAACGTAGGAGCCACTCATAGCACGCCAAGTCACTTCTTTGGGCAAAGCAAAGCAAACCGCAGCAAGACGGGGCAGAAGACGCAAGGCCGTGGCGTGCGGCCCTGGCCCCGGCGCTGGGGCAGTGCGTCCCGATTCGCGCTACCCCGCCGGCACTGGCCATCTGCCCGCACCTCTGCGACTGCGACTGCGATCGACCGCGCTCCGCGTGGAGCGCGGCGGCGTGGTCACGTGGAGAGAGGGCGCAGTTGCGCGCGGCGGACGGCGGCCCGCGTAAGCTGGAATGCGTCTTATATCTGCGGGAGTCGCACGGGGAGTCTGCGGCACGCAACAGGTGGCCGCGCGCGCGTTTTGACCGCGCTCCCCCACTGGGCGGCCGCACACCCGGCGCGCCGTCTTCTTGGCTGGCAGCCGAGAGGCCTGAGGGGGGCGATGTGTTCCATGCAGGCAGTCACTTTACTCACCGGGGAAACGCACGCCAACGGCGCCAGGCTCCCTACCTAGAGCAACTCTCGCTCTACGTCGGGATTGCCAATAATCGCATGCCGTCCCTCGCCTACGCGTCCTGGAATACCCTTTCCAAACGCGCGCCACCCACCCACCGTCGGTGGCAAGTTCGATAAGCGCTGTGCGTCCCTCTCCGCGCGCCCTTGTTCCCGATGCAGGCCGAAATACATCCCTCCTGCAGTGCAACCGCTCAGTGCACTTCCCCGCGAATAACCAACACGGAATAACTTGAGGTGTGAAGTTGAGACGTCAGGAGTTGGCATGTGAAATTAATGGCACCAGACTCATCGCGCACGTCTTCGCACTGACCTCGTGTGTGAAGGAAGGGGTTGCCCGCGAATGGAATGACACTGTAGCCAAAATAAGGGTAATTGTAGTGTTTCTCTTTTTGTATCGCAACTTGCGTCAACAACAACCGTCTCCAGCCAGATACTTGGATACCGGCAGATACTTAAGATGCTGGCTGAGCAGCTCCCCCTTGCAAGCTGCCGGCACACATAAAGGAACTGCGACCTGATGAAAGGGAAGGTATGGATGTATTCTTTTCTTCATAATTCTCGACATCGCTCGCTCGCTCGCATTAGCAGCACGCATCCGTCGGAGACGATGCCGCCGCGTGTCGGTAAAGTGCTGCGTGCGGGCAATCAGAAGATTTTTGAAGAGGACACCGCCGCGTGTCTGAAGCAGAAGACCGGTCACCTCCGTGCGTCCGTCGAAAAGCGAAGTCGGCTCAGTGCGTTCCGAAGGAGACGCTGCCACACAGCGTCACCGGAACAATATCAAGCGCCCATACCATAACATTAAAAGTTCGCCCTCAGTAGTATCCAATTTTTTCAGAAACTATCTTCATGTGCGGAGTGCATTGGTCCACTGGATTCCAGTGACTGGAAGAGGGTCTGATCTCTGGCACTCGTGTACTCGGTGTACACGTGCGGTGTGGATGAATCATGACACTGCTCGCCTTCCTCTTCGCACAAACACCAATTCGGCATTCCTCCCTTCACCCACCGCCACTTGGCACAGAAACATTCATTAACAATCACTGCCGAACTGTTTTTAAACATAAATAAACTAATTTATCCCCTTTATTTTTTCTAGGACAAACTCCCACATCTGTCCCCCGCCGCGGGCCCTGTCCCGGCAGATACCCGCGCCCCCCCGGGTTGCCACGCCGCCCCGCCCTCATGCGGCTTGCGATGGGGAGGCAGGTGACTGTTGAATAAAATATAAAGAGTTAATGCTGCGTTTAGTGGGGCGATCGTGGTCTTTTTTGTGGCAAAAAGGGGGTGAAATGGCTTTTCGTGTACTCTTTTTTCTCTCCCTCGTTGTTGTACTGCCTGTCTCTGTTTCTTCCCTGTGTCTTCACCCTTCCTTCTCCCATTTTTAAAGCTGCCCAGCTTCCACTTGGAAGCTCGCGCGGACTCATCTAGAAACCCCGGAATTTTTCTAAAATCTACTTCAAAAAATCAATACATTATTTAGGGTTCACAGCGACCGCATCGCATGGCGCCAGAAGCTGGCGACAGGGATGCCATCACGGCGAGAAATCGGGAGCAAAGTTGTAAGGAGGGTGTGTCTGGTGCCAGGCGCCTGGAGCAGGAAGGACACGTCCTCTCCTGTCCTTCATTCTGGAGTCCTTTGAAGCTCCCACTGCTGGCGTAAAAGTCATGTTTGTGCGTCGCGAGTGGAGGTTTAGGTTTGGGGTCCGGTTTTCTTTTTATTTTTTCGCAATTCTCCCTGTGCGTGCCTTTCTCTCTCAGGGCCTCCACGCTTCCTTCCCCGTTTGATGGCCGTCAAGCTTCCACTTGGAAGCTTACGCGGAACAATATAGAAACCCTTGAAATTACAACCAAAATCTAGTGCAAAAAATCAAACATTAATCATGCCTCACACAGCGAGAACAGCCTTACTAAACTCACGATGTGCCAACTTGGCAAACTCACGATGTGCCAACTTGGCAAACTCACGATGTGCCAACTTGGCCCATCGTGAGTTTAGTAAGGCTGTTTTTTGCTGCGTTGTTGGCACTGCCAACGCAGCAAAATTCCGCTCAACAGCCACCTTTTTCTTTGACGAGCGTAGGAAACCGCTCCACCCTGAGTGCGTCTTTCCGCGAAGAAGTCACACGGACATTCATTCACGGAAGAACAAGCGAAGCACATCAGCTCACCCTACTGACCTACACGACCGTCGCCACTGTTTCTGCTTTCGTCGACAACGACAAGAGTGCCGCGCGCTGAACGCGGACTTCAACCTTCGCGGCCCTGTTTTTCTAACAGCCGGTCCCGTTCTCACGCATAACACACCCCTAACACAATCCGCACCTCACCAACTTGTCTTTAGCTATTCACAAAAAAATGCAGGAAAGCTTCCGGCAAGAGTCGGGACCAAGTAGAAAACGGCGAAAGATACAGTCTCCCGATGTGTTCATAAGCCATGCTGGCCCGGACAAGCTACACATCGCACGTCCTCTTTCCGAGAAATTGCAAGCTCATGGTTTAAGTTGCTTCCTCGACAAAATCTCGATGGAGCCCGGGGACTGCGGAGAGGATGAAATGACGAAGGCTATGGAGTCTGCGAAGGTCGGTGTTTTCATACTTTCTCCCGAGTTTGCAGCTCGAAAATGGACAATGAGGGAACTGCGGTGCTTCCTGCGCCGACGAAAAGAAGCGATAAGCAGTGGGATGCGGCCACCGACATTGATTCCGGTTTTTTACAGATTAAGTATTCGGGAATGCAGAGAGCTGGAGCCCGATCGGTACCGGGATGATGAAGGAAGGAATATTTTTGAAGTTGAGAAGTTTTTCAGCGAGGAACGACAGCACGAAGCGAGCACGGATACGGTGAAGGGGGAGCTAAAAGAGCTGGCAGGTATTACTGGGATTGAAAATGACGGCGGGGCAACAAACCTGCCGGAAGATGAATTCGCCCATCCTGCAAGGGAACATCTTGTGAAACGAGTGTTTCTGTGGGTGAAAAAGAAAAGTGAGGAGGACTCAAGTGATGAGCAAGAAGCCGACCACCTTCACGATCTTATTCCACGAGCAAGCACGAGCATCGATACTCACGTGGCGGTCAAGCAAGGAGCGGACCGCTGTATTCAACAAGTAAGCGCGGCCGTCGAGTCGACCAGGGGAGGCACGGGAGATACCTTCAGGGCGTCGATAAGAGCCGAACATAATCCTGCGTCGATATGTGTGAAGCTTGATTCTCGGGGGAGCGATGGATTACCAAACACGTGTGAGTCGCGTCTAAAAGCGGCTGTGCTCCGAAGAGATAGGAACAAGCAAGTGGGTGCGACAGCAGTGGGACAGGGCGGAGTCGGGAAGACATGTGCCCTGCGGGCGATCGCGCATGACGATAAGATTATGGAAGAGTTTTCGGGAGGAGTGTACTTCATGTCGTTGGGGAAAGACGGAAACGTGGGACGGCTGATTGAAGAACTGTGTCTGATTGTGGAAGCGTCTGGTGGCAAGCAGACGGCTGCGGAAATGCGGGAGCAGAGCGAGTTTGGAAGGGTGTTAACGAAGGTACAAGCGTGGTTTTGCAGGCATGTGTGTCTGTTCATCATTGATGATGTGTGGGTGGTGAATGATATAGACGCGAACATCCTTCAAAAGTTGTCTGTTCTGGCTGAGACTGCGGGGGGCAGCGGGGGAAGGAGGAGCAGACTCCTGTACTCTACGAGGGATAGGGAGCTGCGTCAGATTGGAGAGCGGGTTGCTTTCGAGCCGAGGGAGAATGTAGGGAAAGAAGCAGTTGAGATGCTTGTGCACGCGAGTGAGGCGAATCGAGAGGAAGTGGATAATGCGAGATGCAAGGAGGCCGTGCGTGAAATACTGGAAATGTGTGGGGGATTGCCGCTTGCCCTAAACGTAGCCGGAACGAGTGTGAGGTACATGAGGGAAAGATGGGAGGGAGAAGTGTCAGAAGCATGGGGGGCGTACCTTTCGAGGATGAAGAGGCGTAACACGATTCGCGGTGAGAGTCCGAAGGACGGATATTTGTCGTTGGATGGGACATTGCACACGTCACTAGATATCCTGGAGTCGGCGGATGTGGGAAGCAGTGGGGAGACGGTTGGTGATTTTTCGTTTCGAAAGATGCACCGGAGTCTGTGTGTTATGAAGAAGCAAGACTGGATACCTTTGTGTTTGGTTGGAGATTTGTGGGAGATGGAGGAGTGGACGGAAAGGTGTGCAAAGGAGATGGAAAGGGTTAGATTAGTAGAATTGCAGTATAAGAAGGGTTGTGGTGGGTTGCGGGTGCATGATCTGACGCACGATTTCGCGGTGCAAGAAGCGAAGAAGAAGGAGGGTGTAGAAGAGTGGTATAAGAAGATGGGGGATATATGCAGTGCAGGAGGAGGGTTGCTTGCAATGAGTGAGGGCCGAGATGGAGAGGGCAAGAGCGGACGGGAGGAGTATGTTTTCGAGAACATATATCGTGTTCTGAGACAGGGTGGGTGTGTAGAGGAGCTGAAGAGATTATTTTTGAGTGCGCGATGGGTGAAGACAGTGGTACAGAGAGGCGGGGTTTGGCAATACGAGGAAGCTGTGAAGGGGTTGAGTAGAGATTTGAAGCGGAAAAGAGGAAGTGGGCAGGAGGTGGGAAGGGTAGGGGTAAATGAGGATGCAGTGGATGGGATGTTTTTGATGATGTCGAAGAGACTATTTTTGAGTGCGCGATGGGTGAAGACAGTGCTACAGAGAGGCGGGCTTTGGCCATACGAGGAAGCCGTGAAGGGATTGAGTAGAGATGAGGATACAGTGGATGGGATGGTTTTGATGATGCGGGCTGCGCGACTGAGTGTACCGTTTTGTGGTGAAAGTAGTGCCGGGATTTACTTTCAACTATATGGGCGAGTGAAGCACAAGGCACGGGAATCAGGTTGTGTGCGAAAGATCCTGGAAGAAATCGAGAAATACGCACCACGGCCGTGGGTGCGGCCTGTGAGTGAGTGTGTAGCGCGAGCCGATGGAAGGTTGGTGGAGCAGATTGTTCTGCCGTATGATAGTACAGGAGAAATTGAAGTCGGCATAGATTCCAGGGGTGCAGTGTTTGGATGTCAGGTGGAGGAGTCCGGGGGAGAAGTAACAGTTTGCACGCAATCTGCTGAGAAGGAGACGAAGATGGTTCGATTAGAGCTTGGAGCAAGCAGGCGCGAAAGGGGTTTGCAGGAAAATTTTGGGATGCGCATTGGAATTGTAACCCCCGAAGAGACTGGAGAAAACCCGAGCGTGACGAGCGCTACCTGCGCAACATTCTGTGAGAGGAAGGGGTATGTTGTTGTGGGATATGAAGACGGGACGTTAAGGGTGTGGAGTACATCGGAGAGGAAAGTATTGAGAAGTTTCCGCGGTCGTAGGTCGAAAGTGCATTGCGTTGCGATGAGTAGGGACGGAAGACGTGTGGTATCTGGATCGGGGGACATGAGCGTGCGGGTGTGGGACGTGGAGACGGGAGAACAAGTCGGGGAGGTATTAGTTGGACACACGGATGTGGTGTTGAGCGTTGCGATGAGTGGGGACGGAAGACGTGTGGTATCTGGATCGTTTGACAAGAGCGTGCGGGTGTGGAACGTGGAGACGGGAGCACAAGTCGGGGAGGCGTTAGTTGGACACATGGGTTGGGTGCTTAGCGTTGCGATGAGTGGGGACGGAAGACGTGTGGTATCTGGATCCCGGGACAAGAGCGTGCGGGTGTGGGACGTGGAGACGGGAGCACAAGTCGGGGAGGCGTTAGTTGGACACACCGGTTGGGTGCTTAGCGTTGCGATGAGTCGGGACGGAAGACGTGTGGTATCTGGATCCCGGGACAAGGGCGTGCGGGTGTGGGACGTGGAGACGGGAGCACAAGTCGGGGAGGCGTTAGTTGGACACACGGGTTGGGTGTGGAGCGTTGCGATGAGTCGGGACGGAAGACGTGTGGTATCCGGATCCAAGGACAAGAGCGTGCGGGTGTGGGACGTGGAGACGGGAGCACAAGTCGGGGAGGCGTTAGTTGGACACACCGGTTGGGTGTGGAGCGTTGCGATGAGTGGGGACGGAAGACGTGTGGTATCTGGATCCCGGGACAGGAGCGTGCGGGTGTGGGACGTGGAGACGGGAGCACAAGTCGGGGAGGCGTTAGTTGGACACACCGGTTGGGTGTGGAGCGTTGCGATGAGTGGGGACGGAAGACGTGTGGTATCTGGATCCCGGGACAAGAGCGTACGGGTGTGGGACGTGGAGACGGGAGCACAAGTCGGGGAGGCGTTAGTTGGACACACGGGTTCGGTGTGGAGCGTTGCGATGAGTGGGGACGGAAGACGTGTGGTATCTGGATCCCGGGACAAGAGCGTGCGGGTGTGGGACGTGGAGAGAGGGATTACACTTCATACCGGGAGGGAAGAAGATTGGGATGAAATCACGAGTCGGTTCCTGAAGACGGCAGACTTGAGTACTGCTTCTCGTGCAAGACGAACATCACAAATATTTGCAAGGGACGGAGGAATTGTGCAAAGGCGAGAGGATGGGTCTGAGGCTGTCTTGGCCCAGTTGGACAATGCAAGAGACTTGCAGATAGACCACGATCACGAGGTCGCAGTTGCAAGGATGGGCCATCTGGTTGCTATCATGAAGCTAGTTGTGTAGCTAGTTGTATAAGTATCAAAGTGCGATGGCCGCTTGGCGCCCGAGACATTAGTAATGCGTTTGCAACTGTTCGCGGTAGTTCTGTAGTGGGCTGTAGTGGGGAGGTTGTTTGTTTGTTATGAATGCGTGAGAAGGTTGCTTGATGGACGTAGCAGTCCATGTATGTGTATGATGTGTATGTATGAACTACCGACGTGCTTCCCTTTCGTCACTCAGTAAGCAACTCTAGAGGGATGCGAGCGTACTAAGGTGTAATAAGTGTTGATAAGTGTTGCGTCGCGAAGGCTTGTCCTCCTCGAAGACATCGAAGACAGAGGACTAAGAAACGTTGACAGCGGCGCCAAGCATTCGGACGGAGGGGATGTAGAGGTAGTTGAATTAGTGAATCAGCGGTGAGTTGAGAAGCGTTGGCGCCGGGTCAAGGCGGGGCGCGAATCTGAATGTTGCGAGGCGATGGGTACACGTGCACAGGTTGACACGTGTGAGAAGAATAGTGGCAAACGAGGGCAACTTTTTTCTTCAATTTTTCCGAAATTTCAACTTTACCATAAATCTGAGCTTCCATCTACAGTATTCCTTCACGACGCACAGACCTTGTACAGTACGCGTCTGTGTACACTGAAGGTACAGTACCACGGGAAATAGCGAGTGATGGTCGAGCACTTGGCGTCAACCAAGCGTGGCCGTGTTGTTCTGCACACCGCGGCCATCCCGTATTTAGTGTAGGCGGCCGGCGCACCACCGGCCCCTTCGTCTCCCCCTTCGTCTCCCCCTTCGTCTCCCCCTTCGTCTCCCCCTTCGTCTCCCCTCTCTACTCGAGTAAACTTTATATGTCTATTCCCCTCCCACGCATCCCCGGTCCCGTTGGGGCCCGCCCTCTCCTCTTCGCTTCACTCACATGTCTTTTTCTCTTGGGTTTCTACTTGTAGTCTAGTTTTTAGTCTACCGTCCGATGTCCTGGGAAGGGGGAGTTCCGCCGTAAAGTTACCACTATCTTCATGTTTCGTTCGTGTCGGGGGAGGTCGGGGCCGGGCTGTTGACAGCCTGACATCAGGGTCTCCTTTAAGACAGCATGGACAGCCATGTTTGGATGGAGTCGGCGAACGCGGACGTGTACGCGTGTACACGCCGTACACGCCGCCGCCGCACTTGACATTTCTGGAACGTGGTAGTGCATTACAGTGAAATGCGTGAATCGCGACACTTTCCTTGCCTTCTTGTTCTCTCTTCCGGTGACACCCCTTTTCACCCACAGCAGCAGTTGAGAAAGTGGTTTTGGAGAATGCTTGCTGAACGCACTTGTCCAACGCAAAACTGTACCTGCATCGTCTTGCAGAACATCAGGAAAACAGTTAGGAAAACAGAAAGCACGCAGTTGCCTTTTCGAAATGGCGTTGTTGGACTCGAAGAGGACTCGAAGATATCAACGCAAAACGTTTCAAGGTTTGCTCCAAAAAGCTTCTCTACCCGGCAGTTTTAAAAACAACCGGAAAGGGACATCCCGTTCCCACAAAGCCCTATCTTTTCGCAACGCAGAAGTCAACTGCGGTGGCGAAGATATCTTTTTCCCTCTTCAGAATAAGCGAAAAGTGACCTCACACGAGGAACAACTGTCGGAGAAAAACTGGCGTAGACCACAGACTAAAGAGTTGGTGGGACATGGACAGGAGCAAAAAGAGAGTTAGAGGGTCCGGCGTGAGTCGAACACGCGACCTATCGATCTGCAGTCGATTGCTCTACCGCGCGTCAAACCGCTGAACTACGAACCCAATGTGATGGGAAGACTGTGTCTTCGGGACTGTGTCTTCGGGACTGTGTCTTCGGGACAGGTATTAAAACTGGGGGCGAGTCCATTGGTTGGGCAAGGGGAAAACGACAGACCGCACCGGTACCACCTTTGGTACTGCAAAGTCTCGTCTCTCTCAGCGTCTTAGTTATGCCATATGGTCAAGCGTTGCCTCAGCCACCCTCGCCCGCATGCCTTATCATGGCGCGGCCTTATCTTGTCCCGCCCAAGTGTGAGTCTTTGAAGCCTGCCCTATGATATGGCATCGGCCCCCCCTTGATTAGTGAAAATAAAACTGACACAAACGACAGACATGCAAGGCGGGCGCAAGGGGCCGCCGATGACGTGGACGGGCGGAGCGGCTCCGCCAGGGGGACGCGGGCGCGTACGCACGGTACAGCGGGCTTGGTATTGCTGGCGGCGGGGGCGGCATCGAAAGTGCAGTAAATTTACCGTAGGCGCTGGACAGATTGCTCTCACGCTGGCGCGGTGTCAGCTGTACGCGAAGGTTCTCAGTTGCCCCGAAGCAGTTGCCTCGAAGCGGTTGCCTCGCAGCGGCGTCGAGAGAGACGTGGAGGGCATGGTTTTCCGGGTGCACTCCAGTCGTTGGCGAAGCAGTGCGGGGGCAAGCGACGCAGCGATTGGGTGCAGAAGCGCAGCGCAAGGGTCGGAGACGGTGCCTGTCGCCGCGGCGGGGGAATTTCTCCAACTAATTGGAAGCGCAGGGCTTGGGTACAACTTTACTTGTACCCACCGTACAACTTTACTTGTACCCACCGTAAAGTTGCCGTCTTGTACAGCTTGTACTGTACCACGCTGTTGACAGCTTGACATCAAGCTGGAGAGGCCACGCCGTGCCGATTCTTGGTGGAGAAAAGATGTGTGTGCGCGGGGCGGAGGCGGTGGAACGGAGCAGCAAGGATGTGACAAGGCACCAAAGCCGACACGTCCGTTGCATTGCTATCTCTCCGTACACGTTTCGTACGCATACGTGTGAACGAATTCATTCATCAATTGGGCATGCCGCCACTACCCATTGCCCGGCGACACCCCGCCATGCCCGTCTCGCAGACGTGCCAGGTCGCATCGCGCTGCGGGGAGGAGCCCCTCTCAGGGAGCGAGGTAGTCAATCCGTCAGCGTCAACGCCCACCTCCGCCGACGTCTACGAGCAGCGAGCCAGCAACAAACGCACAACTAAGAGAGATATGCGTAACGGGGGCAGACGACGTCAGACGTACAGAGCGATTGATAACTGTGAGGCAGGACGGGCAGGGACAGAGCAGGGTAGAGCAGAGCGGAGCAGAGCGAGGGCGAGAGCAGAGCAGAGCGAGGACGAGAACAGGTACTGTGAACGGAGTAGAACGGGTACTCGGTTGTCTTTTTATTCAATGGGGACAGTCATTCAGAGTTGGTTATATACTCTTTACTAGGCTAGAGCATTTCTTAACTTGGTTAGCTTCATACGACACGTAAGGTGTCTGTAGCTATTTGGACAAGTTGAGTCACTAACCATTTGGACAGGTTGAGTCAGTAACAATCTGGACAAGTTGAGCAAGCAGCAAGTGACATGCAACAAGCTCAGTATTGCATGTCCATAAATATGACTATGGCAGTCATATTCATAGCAACTACCCAAAACTATTTTAACAAAAGCCGTACGTTAACAAGTTATGCGACCCTCTTAACAATGTACTTGCCAACAATGCTTCCATCAAACCTATCCGTGACGTCCTCCACGAGCGGCGCGATGTTCTGCGGCGGCACGGTCGGCTCGTCCAAGCTAGCGTCACCCGGGTCCGTAAACTCGCTTCCGCTATCTGTGCCCGCGTCATACGCGACGAGGAAGCCCGCCGCGCTGGGCACGAACGCCCCGCTCCGCGTGCTGAACAGGTTGCGGTTGCTGATCTGCACGATCCAGTCCGGCGAGGGCGCGATCATAGCGAGCGCGGTCAGGAACGGGTTTGCGCAGTTGACGGACACTCGGAGCGTCGTGGCGTTGCCCGCCAGCGTCGGCCCGTCCGCGGCGACGACGGAGTGCGTGCCCTTGCCGCGCAGCGCGCGCGCGGCCGCGAGTATACCGGTGTTGTTGCCCGTCTCCGCGATCGCCTCGACCTCCGGCGACGCGAAGCCGCGCACGGTGAGCAGCGACACGCGGTTGGAGTGCGTGACGGCCGTCAGCGGCGCGAAATCCAGCCCGGAGGAAGGGATGCGCGTGCCGAACACGGCCGGCGATAAAAAGTTGATGAACGTCACGTCGTAGCTCGCGTTGCCGCGGCACGCCGGGAACGACGCCGCGCACAGCGTGCACAGCCCCAAGAGGGCGACGAGGAAGCGCGGCGACAATGCAGGAGGTGGGGGGGCGGTGCGGACGGCTGCGGGGTTGGTGTGTGGCGGATCAGAGGTTTCGTCTGTACCGCGCCGCGCGCGGCGGTATTTATGCCGAAGCGAACGGAGGCGAGCCCTCGCGGGAGGCGGCGTCTCACCCCGCCGCCCGCATCGCCCGCGGCGTACGGGCGCGGCAGGGTGTCTGCCGGCGAAGGCGCGCCACGAAGCCGGCGGCAGCAGGGGCGCGCAGCGTTTCTCGCGCGGAGGCGCCGGGGGGAGAAAGGGCGGCGGCGAGTAGGGCGGCGGGGCTTGGGGCGGGGCGGTGGGGGACGGGGGGACGGTTTGTGGTGAAGGGCAGTGGGGGGAGGGGGGGGAGATCTGTGGTGAGGGGCGGGGCGGTTGGGCCAAATATCTGGGCGGTTGGGGATATTTGCACGCGTCAAGGGGGCGGGGCTGGCGTACCGCAAAGCTTTACAATCTGTATCTGGATGCACAATCTGGATGCACAATCTGGATGCACAGCCTGGATGCAAGTCGCGCCTCGCAAAGCAGCGGCGTGGACGCGCGGAGCCGAGCGCGCGCGCACGTGGACACGCGGCGCATCTGTACTACGTGGCCGCGTGGCGCGGAGAGCATGCGCCCGCGCGCGCGGGCACGTGGCGGAGGGCGCGCGTACAGCGGTGCACGGCCACACGTGTGGGCGCGCAGCAGCTCGCCGCGCCGCGTCTCACCGTGGCGCACGGCGGCGCGGAAACAAGGGCCGGCGGCCGTGACGCGCCACAACCGTCTCCAGCAAGATACTGCGATACCGGCAGATACTTCACCGACTTAGACTTAGATACTACAAAAATAGTTTCAGGAAGCGCCCAGGGCTGGCGCCCTGGCTGAGCAACTCCCCATTGCAAGCTGCCGGCACACATAACGGAACTGCGGCCTGATCAAAGTGAAGACATGGTTCTATTCTTTTCTTCATAATTCTCCATACCGCTCGCTCGCTCGCATTAGCAGCACGCATCCGTCGGAGATGATGCCGACGCGCGTCGGAAAACTGCTGCATCCGGGCAATCAGAAGACTTTGAGGAGGACACCGCCGCGTGTCTGAAGCAGAAGACCGGTCACCTCCGTGCGTCCGTCGAAAAGCAGGGTCGCCTGCGTGCGTTCCGAAGGAGACGCTGCCACACAGCGTCACCAGAACCATCTCAAGCGCCCATAACATTAAAAGTTCGCCCTCAGTAGTATCCAACTTTTTCAGAAACTGTCTTCATGTGCGGAGTGCATGTGCATGTATTGGGTTGATGCAGTGCGAGGCAGAGGCACATTGAAATGCATCCAAGCGTTCTGCATACAAGCCACTCGTGATGCGGAAGATAGAGTTGTAGGGATTCAGGGGCTTGCTCCACCGCTACATGTACATGTGCGATGCTTCTGGAGCGTTTGTCGAGCAAGCAGCTCTCTGGTACCGTGATGCAGGACAACGTATTTGAGGTGCCGGTGATGGTGGTATTGTACAGTAGGGATGTTGGGATGGGGTCGGTTTCTGGATGAAAACGGGCGGTTTAATCGAGAAAGGAGCACGACGGGAGGGGGGGGGGGGGGAAGGCGTTCATCGATAGTCATGGATGAGGTGTGATTTGAAGTTTTACTTCAATGCGGAGAGTGTACATTTCAGAGATACTGTATGTAGGGTGCGCGAAATAGGGGACTTGGTTATCACTAGAGCAGATAAAGAAGTTTCAAAAGAGGGAATCAAAAAGATGTGCTGTGTACCACTGCCACTCTCCTGGGGCTTCATGCGTTTCGGCATTGCAGCTCCGTTTTCAGTGTGGTATAAGAACGATGCGGCAGTGTCCGTGAAGGAGACGGTGTCGTATCTTACACGTGTACATAGCCCCTACACGGTATTTAACACCGTCGTCGCTCCTTCCCTCAGTAAACACGACCAAGGTCTTGAGTCTCTCCTACAGTTTATAGGCCCTTTTCCTTTTCCGCTTCCACTGCCCACCCCCCTCATCCCCTTTCCATCAACCCTCATCCAACCGGCCCACGGCCGATCATCACCTCACACAAGCACCCCAACCGGCCCACGGCCGATCATCAATCACACAAACACCCCATCCGGCCCCCGGCCGATCCACCCCTCCCACACACCAACCGTTCCTCCCCCTGAGACTCCCCTCCTTTCCCTCACATATTTCCCCTCACCAGCTGTCCCCGCATCCACCATGGAACCGTCCTCCTCCCATGACAGCCCGCGTCTATCCGTCACGCAGCTCACACTCACAAACTACAGCTATTGGCACAACAACTTTGTCCTCGTAGCATCTGTCCAAGACTATGACCACCACCTGGACAGTAATCCGCCCCCACCAACCGATCCCAACGACCTCCGCCCCTTCACACGCATGAAACGCCTTGTTCTGGCATTGATTTTTCACAGCCTCTCCGAAGAAGTTCGTTCCCTCGTGGCCAAAAGTGATCTCACCCTCCCACCGCATGACCTCTGCAACCGCCTGCACGAGATCACTACTGCCAACCCCAGCAACGCACCTTACATCCTGACTGCTCTTGCCCGAGAAACAACTCTCCGACCAGGCACGCCTATGCTTGATTACATCATGTGGTACAATTCCACACCACAACCCCGGGTAGGAGATGAGAACCGTCTGGACGGGCGGTTACTAATGTAGTAATCGTGCACGCGCCCTCTGAAACCACAGTAGTACCTCCACGGCGTACACGTAGCATAACAGTTGGCGCCGGTCGTGGCCACGGGCACACGTGTGCGACCCGTCCGGTAGGTAATTAGCAATTAGTGATTAATGGCACAAATTAGCCAATTTAGTACAGGAGCTGGTATACAGTATGTAACAGCTACTGTAGCGGGACAGGTGTCCTGGCGTCCCACTTACGGGTTAAGACCGGGGGCACCTGCCCCGTTCCAGTAAACGGGGGGAGACTCGTCTCCCTTCCCTTAACGGCTTTTTGCTAACTCCGTCCGGTTTTACCTCTAAGTCTCAGGCCTCTAACCCGTGACCGGCTGTGTGGTTATAGCACCTCCACTCAGCTGCGCGTCACTGGCCACGTGTGCCTTCCCTCTTTACGAGTTCTTCGGATCGGTCCGCGCTCGCGTGGGTACCCCGCGTCGGGCGCTCCCTCACACTAATCCCCCCTCGTTTCCGAGTGGTCGGGACGTGGGTAGTTATGCCACATTTTGGTACTCTTGTGGAGGGTATAACTACAGAGGTTGAGGCCGCACTGGATCGCCAGCGCGAGCAACTACCAATCGGATTGAAAGAGGTCGAAAATCACCGCGTCGATCGCCAGTGATCATCGACGATGAACGGTGCGGATTCCGCCGGAGAAGATACCGCCTCCGGGCGAGCAAGTACCCGCAGTGGCAGAGGCGCACAGCGCCCCTGGATCGACAATCCGGAAGCCCTGCTACGCCCGCCGTTTACCAGGAGCCAGAAGACCCCTTCCGTTTCGGACACCACCGCCGGGCTACCGGCTGGTGGGGGAAACCGCGTACAAATACTGTACGACACGTTACTCCCGCGACTGCAAACCTGGATGGAGGATTTCCTCGCTGAGGAATTACCTCAGGTCGTCCAGGTTTGCCTCGACCGAACGGCACCAAGACTGGTGGCGGAGCATGCGGACACCGCGCTCCGCGCCCTGCTGGACGAGAAGATCGCCCCCCTCGTACGCGACGAGGTGGTGGCAGCGCTCGCCGCGGAGAAGGAAGAATCTCCGACCGCATTGGCTCTAAAGGGAGCTATTAGCTCCGCCGTGGCCATCCGCCTGGCCACGACATTTACAGAAACGGGAGGCGCGGTACCGCTGCCGGCGCCGCGCCGTGAAACCGTTCCGGGCTCAAGCTTTAATATCGCTGATCCGATCGGCGCCGTACCCGGGATTGATAGGATGGACCCTCACCCGGAAGGCAGAGCCATCTATCTCCCAATCGTTCACGGTGCTACAGGGAGGACCACAGAAAATGTCCTCCCCATACTTGCCGGTACGGGCGACCCCCGCGGGACAGACAACCACCTGGGGCTCCCCGAGACAGAGAATCGGGACCCGTACCGGTTGAGCAGAAGACGTGCACCCGGCACGCACAGGACCGAAGCGGAATACACCCGGTATTCCGACGCAGAAGACCCCTGTCACAGGACGGATGAAGACCGCGAGGGACGCCGCTGGCGATACCGCGATAACCGCGAAGCACGCCACGGGCGATACCGCGATGCCGGAGATGGAGGATACCCCTCCGATGATGACCCATGCGGTTCGGAAGACTCTCGCAGGCGGGGCCACAGGGCACGCCGCGATAGAAGCCGAGACCGTCACCGGCACGACCCGTCGGACTCGGAAGACGACCACACCGAGTCGGATGAGGAGCGTCGTCGCTCGAGCAGACACCGCCGGGCTGCCCCGACGAGCGACGACCCATGGTAATCAGGCCCCTCAATGACCTGTTTACCAAGGCCGTCAACTACAAGACCTACCGCCTGGAACGGCGTAGCTCGCGCTACGACTCCACAGTAGCGCGGCACATTAACCGTTACCGGAAAAAACTGGACGTGCAGATGAGGTCCCACACGTTCAGCGGTCAGGATCCGATCGCCGTATTGGGATTCCTCGCCCGCCTCAAGATGGCGTGCGACCACAACGGGATTACCGAAGGAGCCGCCGTGTGGTGCTTCCAATTCTACTTGACCGGGCAGGCTCACGCCTAACTCCAGTCCCGTCTCAATGGAAACACCATGGCCGTTGACGTGGAGCGGCGCGAGCTGCTCCGGACATACCCGCAGGTGGTCAACTTTCTGTTGCGTACCTATGCTACCGACGAGGTAATTTCCGAAGCGGTTGGGGATGTGACCTCCTTCCGTCAGAGTTCAAACATGACGGAGGACGTCTACAGTAACCACCTCT